ACATATGTACGGGGAGGAAATATTCGACAACACCCGTACTCCTCGTGTCTACGCTGCGGCTTCCTCCGATCGCCCTGCGGACACAACGAAGGTGAGTTACCCGGCGGTGTGCTGCCGAAAAATCCCTCCGACGGTCAAGTTAGCATACACTCTGAGAGAGAGAGAGATGATATATCACAATAAATATGTCTCTCACTAAAAGATGTTCCATCCCCAGCATAGGGGGTGCAGTCCCGTTTATATACTTTCTGCGCTCACCTCTGCATCCATTCACATATTGACGCGTGAAGCTGCTCTCCAATCACACTTTCTCCCGTGTTAGTGCAAATTCAGTTAAACACCACCTAATCAAACCGCCAAACGGCATTGGCCCGATCAGGCAGGCCGGCGGTGCTATCCCGGCCTTCTACGACCGCGTCACTCAACGAAACAAACAATGCTCATCGCCGAGCTCCATTACGACCGAGCTTAGCAACACTCCGCGATAACCGAGCTCCTGCTAAGCTAGGCCGATCTGCGGAGGACCTTGTGCGCCGAGCTAAAAGCGCGAACAACAGGACCCAGGCTGACGGTGCATCATCTCAGCCAAGCGGGCCCAGGACTCCAACCGAGCAAACCAACCTTGGATCGGCCCAGGCTAGCTTGGCCTAAACATGCTTGGTCCTCTCAGGCCGGACATTTCCACGGCCCAAGCTAGATTATGAATCTCCCTCTCAACATATTATACAAACTAATATAAAATATGTAATTTGTAAAATGAATACTAAGTTATTCTCAAGTCCGACTCAAAAGATAGATTTTTTTAAAAATATTCTTAAAATTTTTTTTTAGAGAATTGACTCACTTTTTAAACTATTTGGGGAACTAACCTATTTTTTTAAATCGCATTTTGAAAATATAATTTTAAATTAAACTTGCACTTTCAACAGACAATTTCGCCTTGAAAGTGCATGTTGAAAATGCAATTAAGATATATTACATTTTCAACATGCGATTTCAAAATACAATTTCAATTTCAAAATCACATTTTCAAAATGCGATTTCAAAAAGTATGTTAGTTTCTCAAATGATTTGAAAAGTGAGTCAATTTTTTAAATTATTATTTTTTTATAGAATATTTTTTTTAAAAAAAACTCCAAAACATAAGGACATTTAGTCTGTTAATCATTTTATGTGGATTGTTATTTTATTTATTTTATCCACGAAATTCTTCTTCATTGTATTTAGATTCAGATTTTTTGATTTAGACATGATTGTTCCCACCAAAAAAAAAAATGCATAATGTTTAATTATTTTTTTCAAGAAGCAAATTATCAATATAAATTCCGAGTTGCAATAAATTGACTTGAGGGATCAAAGTCACTAAGGATCAGGAAGCCTAATGTAATATGTCAATCCTGGTGTCTGGACTAGCCAAAATCCCGAAAATCCCCGGCTAAAAGACAACATTAACAAATCTCAACATCACAGTGAGCTCAAAAAGCAACATTAAGCAGATCAAAAAAAAAAAAAAATCTGTCATAGATATATATATATATATATATAATAATCATCAAAAAAAATTAATCATAGATATATATGTACAGATATATATATATACACAACAATCAAATCTGTTCTTCTTCATCAGATATATATACAGATCTGTTCTTCTTCTTCAGATCTTCAGATTTAATAACAAATAACAAATACCTAACCCAGATCTTCATATTTAAACACACCCGTGAGCATCGCAGCAGAGAGAGGGAGAGAGGCCGAGAGAAGAGAGGGAGGAGTGACGCCGTGAGGGAGAGAGGAGGAGTGACGCCATGAGGGAGAGAGGAGGAGCGGCCGACGCCGGCGCCATCACCGTGAGCATCGCAGCAGAGAGAGGGAGAGCATCGCAGATTCGTAGCAAAGAGAGGGAGAGCATCGCCTAGAGAGGAGAGTGTGAGTGGGAGAGAGGAGTGAAATGAAATGAAATAACCTAAACACATATACTATATATATTCGGGGATATATACAGGGTGTACTCGGGCCGGGGTCGGGGCGAGGTTGGGGTTGGAAAATCTATCCCCGTCCTCGGCCCGAAAATGATCAGGGGTTTATTTTTTAATACCATCCCCAGCCCGTGGGGAGTTTTTTTCGAGAAAAAACTGTTTCATTCGGGGTCGGGTCCCCGTCGGATCGGTTTCAAATTGCCATCCTTACCATACCATAGTAAGAGATTTGAGATGGGTTAACGTGGGGCTCATGCATTTACATACTTGAATCAAATCCACTTTCTTAAGATTATTTATTATTCGATGATTTGAATAAGACCTTGTTTGACAAGGTCGGTTTTTAATTAAAAAGTTACAAAATTATTACAATCATGATAAGATTATTTGAAAAAAAAATTCTTTATATATTTTCTTTTGTAAAAATTTAGAAATTTATTAAAAAATTAATTTTCAAACACCCTAAGGATTATTTAAGACTTTTAAAATATTATTCATATTGACATGGTTTATGTCATTAAATATAAATTTATAAATAATATTTTACAAATTTTAATCATTTTTTTATTATTTTATCTCATATGAAATTTAAAATCCTAGTTGAATAAATAGAATCATTTTCCATTGGTAACTCAAACAGCTCCAAATTTAGATATATACAATGTGATTAGTGTATATATCATGTTTATATGTATATTTTGTACACTGTATTTCAAAACTCGGTAATTAATTATTTTAAAATATTATTTTATTACAATTAATCTTTTTTTTGTTAATATTTTGTGGGAGATTTATACAAAATTAATAACGTTTTTATCTAGTGATTCTGTTTGTATTTTGTCACAAGATAAGTAGGATAAAATGTAAATAAAATTACTAAATAAGAGTGTTATTGTCTTTAAAAAAATATATATATATGCCATATACTTTATACATAACATGATTTCATTTAAATCATAGAATAAAATCTTGACATAAAGCATTAAATGTAATAAGATAATAAATCAAAATAATCAGCTGTTAAATTTAAAAATGTAAGAATGCAAAATACAAATGAAACATGGTTTAACAAGATTTTTTGAAATTTACTCATATATTTTTTGGGAAAAAAAATGGCAATTGCTTATTGGGTGTGACATAGGGCTGGGTATATGATTATTCTAATCGTGTAATCTGTCTAACCCGAACCGATCCGTATATAAATGGGTGTTTTCGCAGACACAATGCGAGTGAATGCAGTTTGAAATATGATATTATTATGGATTGCAAATTTTATCTGCACCCACAAAAACATGTCCCCACTTAGACTTTTTTTTTTAATACCTAGACCGTTGATTTCATTCATTCTATCCTAGATATTTTTGGTGCATGGAACTAGAATTTTTAAAACTTAGATGTGATTCATGATGGAGTTTGTGAGTTTGTAAATGTTTTTATTTTATTTAATGGGTTTGAATTGAATGAAGTTTGACAACAATTTATTGTTATTTTATTATTACATTTTGGATGAATATAAAAGTTAATAAAGAATTACTTTTAGGTAAGTTTAGGATTTTACTTTAATTATATTTTTGGGTAGTAAATGATTTTGATAATTTAGTTTTAGATTTTAAAATATGTGCTCGTGTTAGTTTATAATTTTATTTAAAAATTTAAGATTTTAAATGATTTACTTGTGTTAAGAATTGATTTTGTTGTGTTTTTAATTTTATAAGTTTTAATTCGTTAATTATTAATATTGAATATTTTAAAAAATAAAAAGAAAATAATTCAAAATAAATATTTATAAAATAAGAAAAAAAAGTCCAAAAGTAAAATTTTAAATAAAAAAGTTCAATTCATGCACATTTACAAACCTTATTTACATAAATCGCAACCGATATTGCAAATAATTAAAAATTCAAATTTTCTCAAATCACAAATACAGGTCAATCCAAACCACGAACCAAACCGTTTAAAACGTGAAAAAAAAAAAAAGAAAAAAAAGAAAACCGAACTGCCAATCCCCTACCGTCATCACATGATTAGTAATCGACTTCAACGCAAGCGGGTTCAAACACCACACTCCGAACCCAACGTCGCGGGCTTAACCGGAGCTGCCACTGCCAACCAAAACTAATGCACTCTCTTTTCACGAAAATTATTCTTTGCCCCTGGGGCAAGATGGGGTGGTGTCCAACTTAGCTGTCATTGGCTGAATCAGTGAGACCATTACCCTTTTTATCTTTTTATAAAAAATAATTGGACACATATCTTTAAATAAATGGTGTAAAACAATATTCTTAGACCATCTCCAACGGTGAACCAAACTTGGCATCAAATTTAAAATTTGGTGAAAAAGCCATTTTTTTAAGCTCCAACGGTTTCATCAGATCGATATCAAATCCAGAATTTAGCAAAAATGGTACCAAACTGAGTACAGGCGAAGCGTTTAACCAAATCACTGTTCCTAACCGTTGGGATGAGACGAACGGGTCGACCATCCGGTTGACCAACCGGTTAACCAACCGGTCGCCCCGGAGAAAGTTCAGTATTTACATAAATCGCAACCGATATTGCAAATAATTAAAAATTCAAATTTTCTCAAATCACAAATACAGGTCAATCCAAACCACGAACCAAACCGTTTAAAACGTGAAAAAAAAAAAAAGAAAAAAAAGAAAACCGAACTGCCAATCCCCTACCGTCATCACATGATTAGTAATCGACTTCAACGCAAGCGGGTTCAAACACCACACTCCGAACCCAACGTCGCGGGCTTAACCGGAGCTGCCACTGCCAACCAAAACTAATGCACTCTCTTTTCACGAAAATTATTCTTTGCCCCTGGGGCAAGATTTGGAGCGCGAAGTATCAAATTAAGGAAATGACTCATTTTTCACTCAGATTTGGTGAAAAATTTGGTACACCGTTGGAGATGCTCTTAGATCACCAAACTAATCCCACTCTCCTTTCGCTCCAAACCCCCAGTCAAAATCCTCACCGTCCATTCCCTCATCAAACCTATTTATACATCTCTTCCCCTCTCTTCTTCCCTTGCCCGCAACTCCCTCTCCTTCACTCCCATCGTGAAAAAGAGAGTGAGTTTCAGATCCACTCACACTTGTTTTTGTGTTTTTTTTGTGTGAGCTTTTAAACAAACATGGCTCTCATAGTAGAGAAGACCACCACAGGCCGTGAATACAAGGTAAAGGACATGCACCAGGCCGACTTCGGCCGCCTCGAACTCGAGCTCGCCGAAGTCGAAATGCCGGGTCTCATGTCCTGCCGGGTCGAGTTCGGCCCATCACAACCCTTCAAGGGCGCCCGCATCACCGGTTCGCTCCACATGACGATCCAGACCGCCGTCCTCATCGAAACCCTAACCGCTTTGGGTGCCGAAGTCCGGTGGTGCTCCTGCAACATCTTCTCCACCCAGGACCACGCCGCCGCCGCCATCGCACGTGACTCCGCTGCCGTGTTCGCCTGGAAGGGAGAAACCCTCCAGGAGTACTGGTGGTGCACGGAGCGGGCCCTCGACTGGGGCCTCGGCGGCGGACCCGATTTGATCGTCGATGACGGCGGCGACGCCACTCTGCTGATCCATGAGGGTGTGAAGGCGGAGGAGGAGTTTGAGAAGTGTGGGAAGGTTCCAGATCCGAGCTCTACTGACAACGCTGAGTTTCAGATCGTGTTGAGTATTATTAGGGATGGACTGAAGACTGATCCTAAGAGGTATCACAAGATGAAGCAGAGATTGGTTGGAGTTTCGGAGGAGACGACTACTGGTGTCAAGAGGCTTTATCAGATGCAGGCTAATGGAACTTTGTTGTTCCCTGCCATCAATGTCAATGACTCCGTCACCAAGAGCAAGGTATCGATCTATATTTGTTCATTTATGGTTGGGTCTGTTTCAGATCTGAGATTTATAGTTGTTAGATCTGAAAGTGATAGCAATGTTTGTGTTCATGCACTTCTTTGATCTGGTTTTTCAATCTCATTATTTTAACAGTTCTATTTCAATTACATATTAATAATTTATATACACAGGTGTAGATCTGAGATTTACAGTCTCGATTGTGTGGGTTGATCTAATTTTGGATTTTTTGGGTTGATTTTACTAGATCTGTTCTCACTCTTGATTGAAATGAAAATGATAGATTCGTTCTGTGATCTGCATGTCGTACTTGGTTTGTTAAAATCTAGATCTGTCTATCTATTCCATGTTTTTTTTTTTTTTGCTTTTGCTTTTGCTTTTTATTTTTTGTTTTTACATTTTTGCTTCAGATCTCAAGCTTCACATATTCACAAATAAAGAATATACTGCTAGTGATTTTGTCTTTTTATTGATTCTTTCAGTTTGTTCTATTATCTTCTGTGAATTACAACATGTATTTCTACTGACTGTTGATTCAGTTCACTCCATCTCAATTATCTAACAGAATTTTGAGTTTCATTTTCTGAGAATTGCCCCAACAATAGCTTACTCATTGATCTGATTGATTTATGTGTTATAAATTTATAATCTTTGACTAGTCTTGGATTTGAAATTGAGATTTTGGTAACCCGTTTCTTCTCCTGCTTGTTGACTACAATTTCGAGTAGTTGATCTTATATTTTCAAGTAACAGATAGTTTCTTAGTTTAAAATCACTGATTTTGAACTCTTTGATTTCACTCTAATGATCTTTTTGTTCTGTATATGAACAGTTTGATAACTTGTATGGTTGCCGCCACTCACTCCCTGATGGTTTGATGAGAGCCACTGATGTTATGATTGCTGGAAAGGTCGCTGTTGTCTGTGGTTATGGTGATGTGGGCAAGGGCTGTGCCGCTGCAATGAAGCAAGCTGGAGCACGTGTGATTGTTACTGAGATCGATCCAATTTGTGCCCTTCAGGCTCTTATGGAGGGTCTCCAAGTTCTAACCCTCGAAGATGTGGTCTCAGAAGCCGATATCTTTGTCACCACCACTGGCAACAAGGACATCATCATGGTTCACCACATGAGAAAGATGAAGAACAACGCCATTGTCTGCAACATTGGCCATTTTGATAATGAAATTGACATGCATGGGCTTGAGACATACCCGGGCGTGAAGAGGATCACGATTAAGCCCCAAACAGACAGGTGGGTTTTCCCCGACACCAAGTCAGGCATCATTGTCTTGGCTGAGGGGCGGCTCATGAACTTGGGTTGTGCTACAGGGCATCCCAGCTTTGTGATGTCATGCTCTTTCACTAACCAAGTGATTGCCCAGCTTGAGCTGTGGAAGGAGAAGAGTACCGGCAAGTATGAGAAGAAGGTGTATGTTTTGCCCAAGCACCTTGATGAGAAGGTTGCAGCACTTCACCTTGGTAAGCTCGGAGCTAAGCTCACCATTCTCACCAAGGACCAGGCTGATTACATTCGCATTCCGGTTGAGGGTCCTTACAAGCCTGCTCACTACAGGTACTGAGGAAAGAGAGCAAAGAACAGAACATCTGAATGGAATGGTTGTTTTTGTTTTCTTTTATGCTTTGATTTGAATTAGAATGGTAGTTCTTTTTTCTTTTTCTTTCTTGTTTCGTTTTGTTTTTTTCCCCTTTTTTATGATGGGGGTTGTGTTTGGTGGTGGTGAGGGTTGAGAGGAAACAAATGGATTCTTCCTTGTGAAGAAGACCAAATGGGTTGAAATAAGGTTTGAGACTTGGGGTTGTGTGGGATATGTTGGAGTTGCTGGAGTTTAGGGTTTTACTGCATTTTGTTATAATTTTATTGTAACAAATATGAAAAATAATATTTGCCCCTTTTTTTTTTTCTTTCTAATTTTCCCCATTATTTGTTCTTTTGGTTGCCTTCAATTTGGTCTCTCAAGTTTGGTGTCTCGGAAAAAATTTCATATATGTTGAAACTAATTTACTTGGTAAAGGCTTTAGATATGGGGTAAGTTGTTGGATAAGGTAAAGTACCGATGTCAGTGGATGCTGAATCATGGGACTGCAATTGAATAGGGTAGGGGTATATCTTTTTCTTTTTAAATACACATTAATTAATGATTAATGTATGTTTAATTTGGCATTTTTAGTTTGAAATTTAGAGCATGAATGTGTTGGAGCATGCATCTTTAACTCAACCTACTAGGCATAGGGTCTTTTGGGAAGGAAAAAAAAAAATCCACTTTTAACTTTTTATTTATTTTAGGTCAGATTATTTTTTATATTTTTTATTTACGAAAAGATAAAATAAATTAAAAAAATTAAAAAGTCGATCTTTTATCAATCTTTCAAAATATTATAATGTTTATTAGTCAAAATGTTTGTTATACTTTCTTTTTGCACTCCTTAGTCAAGATGTATTTGATTATTTTCCATCATTTTTGTTGCTGATGTAAAATTTTATAAAATTAATAAATATTATTTGGATGAATAGTTCAAATAAAGAGTATGATTGGAATAAAAATATAAAATAATTGATAGACAAAATAAATTGTATGTTTTATAATAATGTTTAGATAGATAAAGTGATAGATAAAATGCCTATTAGCATTAGAGATGTTCGTGGGCAATATCCTAGTTCTGGTAATGGGTATTTGTTGACTATTAAGTGTAGAATATTGATTATTAAGTGCTATAAAAAACAATGCTTACTAAATTAAAAGTTCACAGATTAGTTAGTGCTTATAAATGTTAGTTCAATTCTACAACATTTGAAAAGTGTGTATTTTCCGACATACTAATGTTATCGTTTGAAATGAGTGCATTTCTAAAGCCCGATTGTATGCCTACTTGGGGACCAAGCACAACCCAAAGCTCTTGTGCAATCTCACCGAGGGAACTGAGAGCTTTTGCATGAAACCAACCATTAGAGCTGCCTACCCAAAAACCATTCAAGAGTCCTGAAACAGGCTTCCATTCCCAGCGCCACTGGTATCCATCCCCCTTCTTCACCGAAACATCAACATATAATAACTTGATAACACAAATAGGGTGAGAGGTGGCTTTCATTTTACATCAACTCGCTAAGACTGTGTTTGGTTCATGAATTTGATGAGGGATTTGGAAATAAAAAAGGAAAAAGAAAAGGTATCTGGAGCATAGGTATGTAATTATATTTATTCACATTTTATTTATTTTTTCGTTTTCATTTTTCTTCCCCCTTTTTGAATCCCTAAACAAGTCAAGTTGTAGCTATTTCACGAGTCCTCTAGTCCAAAAATTAACCACAGTGAATTAGTAGGAGGGACAAAATTAGATTCATTAACCATTTTATTTCTCCAAAACGAAATCACCTCTCTTATCATATCCACTGCCACTGGCGCGCGCACACATAAAAGAACATGGACTGCTGCTCTTGCTTTACTCTCTATGCAGCAGCAGGTTCTTCTGACCAAATTGGCTTTTGGGTCTACATTCACTGCATGCACAATCCTCTATACTCTAATGCATGGCAAATTGTTTGTCTTTGTTTTGTCATTTCTTATTTTTCAATGTTCAATTATTCACAAGGGGGCCCAAAAACTCATTTGTCTTCAAAATGCACCTCTTCAGTCTGTTTTAATTCACTCTTACCTACCCATAACATCTCAACCCTGTTTCTTGATATATTGCTGTTTCTGAAAATGAATTTGAATTCCATTACTAGCAGTGCCTTTGAAGAATAACTCTGCTGATTGATATGAAGAGTGTTCTTGTTTGTATTCCTTGAAAAATATTTGATCCTGTTTGGCAAATGCATTCACATTTGAATGTCATTTGAGCTCAGAAAGAATCCATTTTCTCTCTAAATATAATTTTGTTGAAAAATCAGAGGCCGAGTCTCACCAATGTTTTTCCCAATAACATCATTGGGAATAGTTGGATGAATGCGATATATGAGCCTACCATTCTCTCTTAACATTTCCAAATGGTATAGCCGAACGACCACAGAAGAATAAAAAGAATAGAGAAATTGCATCTTCTTGGCTACCAAAATAAAAATAAAAATGTAAAAGATACTACGGGTGTGTTTGGTAACGTTTACGTTTTCAGTTTATATTTACAAAAATTTTATAAATTGATTTTTGTTTATTTTTAGAAAAACATAAACTACAAACGCGTTTGGTAATTGGCGGTAATTGGCACGTGGTGGCAAGTAGCGGCGGAAGACGGTGGTGGAAAGTGGTGACGGTGGGTGGTGGATAGCTGGTGGTGGTGGGTGGTGGCGGCGGTGGCGAGTGGTGGAAAGTGGTGACAGTGGGTGGTGGGTACCTGGTGGTGGTGGGTGGTGACGGGTGGGTGGGTGACGGTGGTGGATGGTAGCGAGTGGGTGATGGTGGTGGTGGTGGCGGCGGTGGCGGGTGGTGGATAGTGGTGGCAGGTGGGTGGCGGATGGCGGGTGGTGGCGGGTAGTGGCGGGTGGGTGGTGATGGTGGTGTGGCGGGTGGGTGGTGACTGGTGGTGGGTGGGTGGATTGACGATGGCGGGTGGCGGAGTAGTAGCGAGTGGGTGGTTGGATGGTCGTGGCAGGTGGTGGCGGATGGCGGGGTGGTGGCGGGTGGGTTAGGTGACGGTGACAAGTCGGTAGCAGTGGGTGGTGTGGCAGTGGTGGTGGCAGGTGGGTGGGTGGCGGGATGGTGGGTGGTGCGTGGGTGGTGGGAACCTGTGTGGTGATCGGTGGCGCGGTGTAGGTTGTAAGAGTGGGTGGTGGGTGGTGGTGGCAGGTGGGGTGAAAGGGATGAGTTGGCGGGTGAGGTGGTGGTGGCGGTGGCGGCGCAACGGCGGCGGGCGGCAACGCCGGCGGCAGTGAGAGGGTGGGTGGTGTGGCGAGTGGGTGACAGGTGGGTGGTGGCTGTGGTGGAAGTGGATGGTAAGTGGTGGTGGGGGGTGGGTGGTGGGTGATAGTGGCGGAAGACGGTGGTGGAAAATGATGACGGGTGGTGGCTAGTGTTGGGTGATAAAAAAAAAAAAAAACTCAAAACTCAAAACGAAAACATATTTTTCGTGTTTTCATTTTTTGGCAAAATTTATAAACTGAGACCACTGATTTATAAATCAATAATTTTACCAAACAAGTTTTTATTTGAGTTTTTTAATTTTTTATAAATATAAACAGAAAACTGAAAACGTAACTGTTACCAAATGGCACCTACCTGTTTAGTTCCACCTGGAAGAAGTTGATAAAAAAATAAAAAGTATACCCAATGCACAAAACTCTGGCTTAAGTGGAGTTTGGGAAATGATTGATGTACACAACCTTATCCAACCTTATCCTGCAAATAAAGAGACTGTTTTTGCGACTCGAACTCGTAACCAGGTCACAAATAAGTAGTTTTACCACTACACCAGGGTCCACCCTTCTTAATAAAAAAATAAGAACAAAAAATCATAACACTACATGATAAATATAAGAATCTGAATTTGGTCAATGTAATTTCACAAATTTCCAATAACTTATTGTTTGGTAAAGAATACATAATTAATTTTTGAGTCATAATCACACTGTTGAACAAGTTGGTGGGAGTGGGTAACAGAAAATGACAGGAAAGGTAGGCAGTAAGCAACCTCAGCTGCAGAAACTAATTAAAAAATAATCCCTCCTCAAATCCAATATCAAAGCACCATTCTTTCTGCTAGAAAGGGCTATTTTGGGAAATGGATTGAAAATTATTCTTCACCTTTTAACTCACTTTCTTCTCTTAAAAAAAAAAAAAAGTTAAAAAAGTTAAAAAATAATTTTTAACCATGTTCCTAAAACACTCCAAAATATGGTTAAACATCGTTTTGACTTTTTAATTTTTTTAAGTCATATTTTTTCTCTTTATTTTTATATATATATATATATATTTTAAAAAAATTTAAAAATTCCCAAAACAAGTCAAAGGCCAATGACAATCTCTCTCTCTCTCTCTATCAAGCAAGTTTGTATAGCTTTTGAAATTCATCTGCCTTTTTTCTTTTTTCTTATTATTGTTTTTGTAGTTATTATTTGTCTTGCGCGTAAGTACTCTGGTGAATATAAATAGTCATTCTGCAATCAAATTCTACAGAAATGTTTGTATGCCTTCAGCAGGAACCATTCTATTACCTATGCATTAACAGACTTAATTTTGTCAAAAACAATACCTACAATTGCTCTGGTGCTGATGGTGTATTCAAGAATTTAAGGTACGTTTGTTTTGCTGTTACATATTTTTTCAAAAAATATTTTCCTCATTTCCGTGGTGTTTGTTTTGCATAATAATTTGGGAAAACATTTTTCCTGTAAATTATTTGTATGAAGTGCTGAAAAGAACTTACAGGTTGAAGTAGAAATTGTGAGAGAGAGAGAGAGAGAGCAGAACAGCTCAATTATACAACTAATGTCAACTTTGTTACAAAAATCTAGGAAGAAGAACATTGAATAGCTTACGATGTGGATATAGTATTAGTTATAGTACAGATGATTCACTATGCTGATTAAGCTCATGAACAGATTCTAGTGAAATATAACCTAAGGATATAATCATATAACAAAAAGCAACCTGACAAGAATGGAAACACACATTCCAGCAAATTAAACCTAGAAGAACATCAGATTTTAGAAACCCTCAATTTTCCAAACCGAAGAGCACTTCCTCAGTTGCCCTCTCTTTCTGCATCTGAACTACTTTTGTAGACAAATACAATGGTCTGCCACCAAAAAAAAAAAAAAAAAAAAAACCACAAAAAGACAGATTCAAAGTAATTGATTTTGGGTCTTGTTAACAAGTGCTGTCGGAGCACCAAAAAAAAAAAAAATATATATAATATATATATATATATATTAAGAGAAGTGAAGAACACATGACATTTCTCTCTAATTTCAATTTTTTTTTCAACATATTCATTTTTTCAGGACTTTTTTTTAAAATATAAATACTAATATTAAACAATGCTTCGGATGCACTCATTAGCATTTGCCATTGATTTATTCCTTGAAGAGCCAATCGGGGCTATCTCATTAGCATTTGCCATTGATTTATTCCTTGAAGAGCCAATCGGGGCTATGTCATAATTCTGTTATAGAAAGAATAATATGTAAGGGAAAAGATTGGTTCCCTGATTCTACTTTCGTAAATTAAATAGCTTGAATGTTGGTACCTTAAAGGCTTTTAAAATCCATGGTAAGCCACAATAAAAAAACAAATGTTGTCGTTGCCCTAGCTAGCCTTCAGTCTATTAACCAGATAAAACCAAGCTTTAATCCTATAACTAGTTGAGATCGGCACTCAGTGAGCATAAATTTTGACCACAAATACAAGTTAAGGATACTCCAAAACAAATTGATTGAGTAAGATCTACTTGATACATTTGAAGTGGATGATTTGCTCATTTATGTGGCATGTATATGTTTTCTGTACTAGAGTTGTAATCCCTACTTGTAGAGATTGTGGCAATGAATTGGTCGGCTTCAGAACAGAGAAACAAGATAAAAGGAAAGCACACTTTTGCAATTTTATGGATTCTAACCCATCCAAATTGGAGTCCTCAGTAAAATTGAAGTATAACAACGCATGCATGTCTAATCTGGCTAAAAGCAACATCATTTATAGACAAACATAATAAATTGATTCCCATGCATTCCATTTCCGACCACTTTTTTATTTGTGACGATGAGGTGCTAGATTAATACATAAAATAAATAAACAGAAGGATGATGAATACTAATCAGTAACTACAATTACATTATTCTTGCAAAATTAGCAAACTAACGAGTGTCTGTTGAGCAAAGAGTTGTCCAATGTTGGATTTTACAACTTATACGGTTACAGGTAAGAAAAAAAGAAGAAGATTAACAATGGATCGCATTTATTTGAGAACAGCAAGTTATGTGCAAGCTATGGACAAGGACTAAACAAAAACTGAAAAGCAGAATGCATCATGGGTGTTAGATTTTGAAGCATCTTTGTTGTGACCAGGCTCAGAAACAAATACTATTACTGTAAAAATATATTGATGTATATTATTGATTGATGTGTTGATATGTTACAAAGCAGAGTAGCTCATTATATAGGAGAGGGTTTGGGTAGTAGGTGAGGAGTAGGTGAGGGTAAATTGGTGGTAGGTGTAGTAGGTGTGGTAGTAGGTGGTGGTAGGTGTAGGTAAATTCTAACAGCCCCCCGCAAACTCAAGGAGGATAGAAACTAACCAACTTGAGTTTGAAGAGAGAAACAAAACAAGAAAATACATAAAAATAAAAGAGGATAGGAGACACTGTATGGTCGTGTCAGACCATTGGTGAAGACACTGGATGGTGGTGTCATAACGGGGTAGAGGACACTGTATGGGGGTGTCATAACGTTGTAGATGACAGTTTATGGGGTCATGTCGGACCGTTGTAGAAGACAGTTTATGGGGTTTTGCTGGACCCTTGTAGAAACTAACCGGAATCAATGTCGGGACAGTTTACAGAGTCTTGTCGGACCCTTGAAAAAGCTAACCGGTATCAAATGTCGGGACAGTTTACAGAGTCTTGTCGGACCCTTGTAGATGTTGCACCCTCAAAAGGTGTGCCCAAATTTGTCAAAAGGCGTGCCATCAAAAGGCGTGCCCAATTCATCAAAAGACGTGCCATCAAAAGGCGTGTCCACTTTATCAAAAGATGTGCCATGAAAAGGCGTGCCAGTGTGTCGGGCGGCAAGAGGCGCGCGATGCGCGTGGCTGCCTCGGCTATATAACCAAGACGAAGGCAGAGGCTGAGGCAGAGGCTGAGAAAAAACTTGCGAAAAACCTCTGAAAAAAAAAACTCTTCGTTTTGCTGAGAGAGATAGGCTGTAACACTTTGTTGCCCAGAAAATGGCCTCCTTTTTTAAGTCATATTTTTTATAAATATCGTGTCCATGACCATCAGGATTTCAGCGAACATGCGGATGTAATCTATTATCCTCTCTGATGCATATGTAACTTACTTTTTTTTTTTGTTGATATGTTCCCTAAAATGTGATATTCTTTTCAAATGCAGCGTATTGCACATGCACTGCAGATTTCACATCCTATTATTGACGCTGGTTATCAGGAGGGGATTCGCTATCCTTATCGACTTTACCACACGCTCATGACACACACTTAGTATTTTTTTCAGATAATATGGATTCTGAATATCAACAACGTGTCCCACCTACTGCTTCAAATAGACGACGTCGTGAATTGGATGTAGACCATCAACGGGGATGAGGGCGTGGGCGAGGACGAGGTCAAGGTCGTGGTCGAGGTCGTGATCCAGTTTCGGTAGAATATGATATTCCCAGTGCCAGTCAAAGTGGGGGCCGAAGCCAAAGACGAGTTGAAGGTTATGATATGCCTGACATTGCTGTGGAGGATACCTATTTACCTGATTCTCCTCTTGTCCAGGAAGAGCACCTTATTCATGCTTTTCCAGGTGGACCGACTGATCCGTCAATACTGTGGAGTTTCAATAGTCATGTGGCTGCAGCTATTTGGCACGGGGAGGTAAACATTCCTCAGTAAAACTGAAATTCATTTGTATATGAGTTTTTTTTTTTTTTTTTTTTGTGTGTTGTGTTAATTGTAAAGGAATAAAAAAAGAAAAAAAAAAGAAAAAAAAGAAAGGTGATATTCAAATCAGTAGAGAATAGAAAAATAAAAAGAAACGAAAAGAGGAAAGTGGAGTGGAAAACATGAGTGTAATGAAAAAGAAAAAAAAAAAAATAGGTGGGAGAAGCTGAGCAGCGTGGGCACATGGGGAGTGGTGGTAAAGGAAGGAAGAGAAAATAAATAAATAAATAAATAAAGAAATAGAAAATTAATAAAAGCTTATAGTGGATGTCATGATAAGAAAGCAAAATGAGTGGAATTCGGTGGAAAGAAGAGAGAAAGCAGGATTATAATGTGCTTTGGCTAGTGGTAGGGCCCATCAGCATTATTCACTTCAGAATGGTGATATGTTAGGAGAATGGTCAATGTAGTCAGTAGGTAGCATTTCTACCCAGAAGATGTTGCACGCGAAGCCCGTCAATCTTAGCAGCAAGTAAGAAATCATTTTCTGTAAGTCCACCAACAGCATGTGTCCATAAATCAATTTTGACATTGTTCCATCCAACAAGATGAAGATCTGGATGATGGCCTGCAACAAATGCTTCTGCTTCAGCAACATAAGCAATGGCCTGAAAGAACTCCAAACCTTTCAAGAAGGTCTTGACTTTCCATGACCGACTTAACTTCAGCCTACCACCTTCATTGACCAAGTTCCACTCAGGAACCTTTGAGATCAACTCATGGGCTGCTTGTTCAGTCATGGGACTCATATCTTGCGAGTCGCATACCACACACTTCTTGGTTGTCAAATCTGAGATGGAAGACGGCCACTGAAGGCGGTGACGCGAGGAGGCTGAAGGACAGCGACGCGATATGGTGAGGCTACGGATTGACGCCATGAGTGTTCAAGAGAGAGAAAGCAGAAGCAGCGGTAAGAAGTATGGTTTGCAGCGAGAAAGAGAGAGAACATGGGTAAACAGAGAGATGTGTGGATAGGGATGGTTTGGGCATGTGTAGAGGTCCGGCGGGCGGTCAAGGCGAGGCTACCGCCCGCCGGTGAAGTAGAATTACTAACTTCTTAACCTTGCTCTGATACCATGTAAAAATATATTGATGTATATTATTGATTGATGTGTTGATATGTTACAAAGCAGAGTAGCTCATTATATAGGAGAGGGTTTGGGTAGTAGGTGAGGAGTAGGTGAGGGTAAATTGGTGGTAGGTGTAGTAGGTGTGGTAGTGTAGCAAGTGTCTGTTGAGCAAAGAGTTGTCCAATGTTGGATTTTACAACTTACACGGTTACAGGTAAGAAAAAAAAGAAGAAGATTAACAATGGATCGCGTTTATTTGAGAACAGCAAGTTATGTGCAAGCTATGGACAAGGACTAAACAAAAACTGAAAAGCAGAATGCATCATGGGTGTTAGAATTTGAAGCATCTTTGTTGTGACCAGGCTCAGAAACAAATACTATTACCACACCCACAAACAACACAAACAAGTTTTACGTGGTTCGGCAATGCACCTACGTCCACGAGCAACGAATTTCACTAATTTAAGAGAGAACAAACAATACAAATTACAACAATGAAGGAGGAGGAGGAGACAACACTCTCAACTCAACTCACACTCATACACAACTCTCTCTGATTTCTGCGTCTCTTCTGCTGCACTAAACCCACCACATGCACTCCCATTTATAAACAATGGGAGAGCCAAAGGCAGCACTTGTCTACCGACAAGCTACCATAATAGCTCAGCTAATCTCCAAAATCTGTAGCACACTCTTTTTGCAGCCAAAGTTGACTTCCTTGAATCTGAGCCAACAAACAACATCTTTCCCATAAAAATACCAACTCCAAAATCAGAACTTCTTTCACCTATCCCAACCACAAAACTCTTTGATAAAGAATGATTGACAATAGATAACCTGAACCTAAGGGTTGCAGTTTGGTCAGCAAATTCTATGACATTTTTTAATCCATGTTGAAATATGTTGTCAAATGTCAACAACCTGAATCCAACCCAATATGTTCAGTACTTTTATTTCATTATTCTTGTCTTTCATCCCAACATATTATACAACTCAGGTGAAGAGGTTAATCTTCTCACAAATCCTTGAAAGAAAAAAAATGATCCCCAGAGGGACAGTGGTACTGGTTTTTGTCCCAAACAGAGATAGGTTGTGGTTTTTCATTTAACTAGAGATGTGTGTTCAATCCAAGAGAAATGGATTTGAGAACCTGGTGTACACATTTTGAAGAAATCATTCCGGTTAATGAAGCGACTTAGTGCTAGACTTCACTGGTAAGGTGGCACAGCATTACATCAATTTCTTACTTTTCAAGTGGATACAACTATTTTCTGTCCAATCCTAACCTTTTTTCCCCATCCTGGACAAGAGTAGTTCAGCCTGAAACAACTGAGACCCAAGTCTAACTTATGCCCGAAAAATTTGTCAATTCTGAGAAGCAATTTTTGGAAGATAGGATGGGTTTTCAAAAATAAATCAAACACTCGTCAAGTGGTAATCAAGGATTTTTGCTTTCAATATTTAAGGGAGACCAACATGTAATTGTGTGTACAAAGTTAAGAAGCCCCAAATCTGCCCTAGCATGAAGGTGCAGAGACCATCATCCTCAAAACCCAATTAGGCATCATATCAAAATTATCAATTATTTTAACCAAAAATATTAAGTGTCCCCATAATTAAAGATATAAATACATTCATATAAGTAGCAGATGGGACTACTAGTCTTTAATTTACAAACATAACTAAGAAGCCCAAGAAAGCATCTCATAAGAAAGAACGATAAAAAACAGTTTAACAATCTCATCAAGTCAAGGTTTGATGCCACTAATGTCTCTAGCACAACCTGTAATGACCTCACAACCTCTGTTATATGGGTTTGCCTGGCCAGATGCTTTGCAGTTGTAGTAAGAAGCCCCAGGTCTTGTACATGGAACCAAGTCCCTCTTCAGTGTCTTATAGCTTATATACCTCCTCTGCATCACCAAAACCCTCCTATTGCTCTCTGAATCCATCTCTGCCTCCTCTTCAATACATTCACCAATCTTTCCAGCACAAACCCTCCTCACCATTGCATCCAAATCACTAGTTTTCAGTGAATTGAGGCCAAGAACTGAAACCCCATTGCAGATTGTGAGGTGGGTGTGAAATAAAAGCAGCAATATGAAAAGGGTGTTCATGGGTTTCAGTTGGATTTGGGGCATTTCTCTTTTTGGAGGTTTGCTCTGCTTGTGACTTTGTGTTTGTGGTTTTGTGGGCTGTGAAAGATGAGATTTGTGAGTGAGTGATTGAGTGAAGTAATGAAAGTGAGATATTTTTGTGGGTTGGAAGGGTCATTTGATGTTGTGAGGGTCACAGTCTCACCAACCTGGCTGCTCATGGGGGGTTGCTGTGGGATTGAATGCGACTTACCGACCACCATCTTGGAATTTTTATGGGAAGGCTTTGTCAAGAATCCAGTCTAGTAATTCTGTGCTCTGCTTTTTGGCCCATTGGCGTCTGTTTGATTAAGACAAGTGCCTAAATTTGGGAATTACAAATTGATTGGTTGGTTGAGAAAATAATTATTAATGATTAATTACATATTGTATCTGAAATATGATTTGTTATATTTTAGTCTTTGATATTTACATTGTGTTAATTTATTTGTTATCTAATCTAATTCTGTTAATTATGTTGTTGAACTTAAAGATAAATGTGAAAACTCGTTTAGAATATTAAGGTAGCATTTGGTAGAGTTTTCTAAATATGTTTTGAGAATAAGAGTTGTATTTTGAGTTTGTGAGTTTTGAAATTATGATTTGAGTGTAGAAAATTTGTTTGGTGAATGAGTTTTGAAAAGAGTTTTGGATTTAGTGGAAAATTTTTGATGTGTCATATGATACTTGATATAAAAATTTACAACTCATAACTAAGCACACAACTCAAAATCTTATTCAAAACTCATAATTTTTTTTTTAAAAATTCCGAATTTTTTTATTATTTAAAATATAAAAAAAAAACAAGTGTCAATTGTAAAAAAAAAAAATAAATAAATAAAAAGATTGCACTGTACTGGTCAACCGGCTGAACATCCGGGAGGACGACCAGTGGGACGACTGGTTAACCCAAATTTTCCCGACTTCGACAGAATTTTCAAAAGTGGATGTGAAATTAATTTTTGAAAATGGTAACCAAACATCACGTTGAAATTAAGAGATAGAAATACATTTTGAAAACTCTTCCAAATAGAGCCTAAAATTTTAGTTCTCAAAATATGTGACATGTCATTAATGTAAAATTTCACTTACAAAATTACACTTTTAATTTTGAAAATATGTGATTTATATAATTTTGGTTTTCAAAATTACACATTTAGCAGCGTGTATTGATAGACTTTGGTTGGAAACCAAATTGAAACACTTTTTATTTATATACATACATATATATATGTATATATATATATATAGTAATTAAGGACTAACTAAATTGTCATGATTCAAAGATTGAGACTCAAAATAACAGGACTTTCATACTTTGTGGATTAAAAATGTAATTAACCCAACAATAAATTAATGGATTACGAATAAAATTGTACTTCAAAAAAGTTGTTATAGGAGAATACAATTCTTACTTGCATTAGCATGCAACTTTATAAATTTGTAACTTTTTTTTTTTATAATTTTTTTTCAACAATGATTTGTTATTTGTGAAAGGTATATGTGGCTCAAATAAATATGGGACCCTCCTCGCCTAATCTCATTTGTTAAGTCTGTCTCCCAGCTTATGACAAAAAATAACAAGTACATCATTCATCATATTTGATAGTAGTCCCTATTGGTAGTTTTAATTTTTTTTTAGCCGACATGTAATAATTGTATTTTAATTTCAATTTTAAGTATTTATTTCAATAATATCCTTTAATTTTCATTTTTTAATATATTTATAATTAGTTATATAGTTTTGAAAAATACTTTTTATTTTGACTTTTCAAATGTAACTAACATTTTGGAACATTCCAAAATTTTTTTAAAAAATGACTTAACAAAATGAAACAGAGAGAGTAATATGTTTACTTTTAAAGAGATATTTCAAACAATATTCTTGTAAGCAAACATTTAGTCATATTTAAGATCCGGCCATGCTTCTCTTCTGTCCGTGAACAAACTGGAGCATGTTGTTGGGTTTGTGGAGGCTCATTACTGATTTTGTTTTGATAATTCGAATTGTTCAATGTGCAGAACTTATCAAGTACTTTATCTTTGTAAAAAATCACATTAATTGGATATCGATAACTACTTGATCGGATCAGATTTCTATCAACAGTAAATAAAATTTTCAAAATAAATTATTGACAAAATCCTGATTCGATCAAGTAGCTATTGATATCTGATCAAAGTAATTTTTTATAAGGATAAAGTAATCAACGAGTTTTACACATTGCACGATTCAAATTATTGAAACAAGACCCGTGGTGAGTCCTACGGGCCCAACAATACCGTCTAATTCACAGAGTGGACTGGAGATAAGCCTGACCCTTTAAGTTGCTGTTTGGCGTTGACTTTTTTGAGTTGAGACTTTTTTAGTTTAGGACTAAAAAGTTCGTTTGATTTGATTTTTTTTGATTTTTTTAACTTTTGTGAGAGAAAAAGTAAAATGATTATGATTTAGATGTAACATTTTATCTTATTAACTTATTTAGTTTATTTTGTCTTTTATACTTATTTAACTTATTTTGTCTTTTATATTTTTTTAACCCAATTAAATTAGCCAAACGACGGCTAAGAACTACTACATACATTTTGAGTTCAACTACACGATGACTTCTTTTTGTATGTCTCAAAAACACGACAGCCTGGTCATTTTTCAATTGGGAACTCTTCATCATCAAGTGTGGATCAATTTTGTTCCCCATTCTTAATCCGAATTTAGATACAAACATACATTATTGCAATTGGAATTGCATCTAGTTGTTTTGATATTTACCAATTGTAGTTTTGAGCAAGATTTTGGCTGAGAAGTGAATGTCGTTTTATACGATTTTCTTTTTGGTTGAAATGAGAATGTCATTAAATAACTCAAAAAACAAAAGAGAATGTCATTAAATAGCTTAGGTTTACCTTTTCTTTTTGGTTGAAATGGGAATGTCATTAAGGCTTGGTTTGGCATTCTTGTTAGGCTATATAATTACAAAAGACAAAAAAAAAAAAAGTTACAAAATCACAAAAAGACAAAAACGCTACAAAAGTACCAAACTATCCCATATATAAACAAAAAAGTCAAAAAAACATCATTCTATACTGAGGACAATTTTGTCAATCCAAAGTCAAAAAGTCAAAAAAAGTCAAACAAGAATACCAAACGACTAAAAAGGTCCCAAGCTAAAAAAGTCAAAAAATCAACTAAAAAAGTCATTGCCAAACAACCTCTAAATAGCTTAGGTTTACCTTTTGCTGCTGCAACATGAAGTCACTGCCATGGTGGTTGTGGGTTCTAATCTAACAAACTGATTCTAGAAGATTATGAATAATGAAGAGAAGAGACCCCTGTTTAAATGAGATATTTGTTGATAATTTTATGTAACATCTATTTATGACTGCACTTGACACTTGAATGGGTTTTTTGCATCCAACTAGTATTTTTTTCCCGCAATTTTCTTTTGATTTTAGTGATTTTTTTTTTATAAAAAAAAATAAAAATTAGTGTCATTTTTTTCTGAGAACTCTTTTGGTTAGCTTAGTACGGAAGGAAATGAATCAACTGATTGATGAAAAAAAGTAAATAGTACTATAGATAATTTGTTTGAAATAAGTGGACTTTCTTGAAGGGACTGGCTTCTCTCCGGTCCCAAATTGGACTGGAGAGATGCTGTCCAGCCCATTGAGCCATTTTAAGTCCTATTTGATGATCCGAACAACTCACATTTCTGTAGTTTTTATTAAGTGTTTTGCACAATATCAAGGTTTATAATTGTGAGAACAAGAAGAGCATAATACAGTAACAGAAACAAATATGATCAATTGATCTAATATAAACATAATCCTGGAGCAAGAAACAGAATTTAGAAATGTTAAAAGCACAGCTCAACATACTTCCCCAAAATCAGAATCATTGATTATTTTTTAACTATTTAATTATTGGAAATTTACAACCCAAAACCATATGCTACTTTCCAGTGCAAGTGTCAATCCCAAGAAGTCAACTAGTCTTTATTCCCGAAGAATTGTTGTTAAAGAAACGAACATTACCACTGACAACAAAGCTTTAGGCACATTAAGACAACCACAACTGAACCAAATAATGGTCTAACATGAAGTCATAAATATTATACCTGATTGAATATGTATCTTACAAACATAAAGTACCTGGAGCAGCCTTTAAACACCTGTGACTGGGTTCGACTGCAACTGCGGTGCTCAAAGAGTAAGATGATCCATGTTCTTTGCGTTTCCAGACATTACATAGCCTGATCTATCTTTTTGATCATCATAGGGGTTTGCCCTGAAACTAGAGCTAGCCTCTTCGGTGTCAGAAGCGCCTGGTCTTTCAGTTAGGAACTGTTCCCAAAACATATCATTCACTCGTGCCGGAGGAGGAGCTGGAGGCCCTTGAATCTTAATTGGTGCTTCTTGTGAGGAAGACAAAGTTGCATCATCATCAGAGAAGGCTCTGTTACTTGGGGAAACTCTAAAATCAGTCACCTTACCATTGACATTGGATCTTAACTCAGGAGATTTACCAATTTCATGACCTAGTTGTATCCTAGCTGAAGATTGACTATTGTCAACCTGCGACAGCGAAGATGCCAGTGTAAGATTTAAATGGCAGGAAATATGGCCATCACCTTCTTCATTAGAGGTCAAATTTTGCTGCAAGGACTGCAGTCTTGGACTTCCACTGCCTCCTTTGCGCGACAAAGTTGAATCCATCATAAACATGAAAGACGTTCCAGTGTCTGATAGCTCCAATGTTTTGGGGGCAAACGGAAGCCCACCAGCTCTCATCTGTGCATCTTTTGGGTAACCTTCAGATAGTCTCCTTTGAGGGCTTCCCCCATCTTCATTGGAACTCTGTGTGCTATGTGAAACCAAGTTAATATCTGAAACAGACGGTGATAACTCTAATCTTAACTTGTTTGAGAAATCTTGGTGGAAAACGTGCCCAAACTCGGGCCTAGAGCTGCTATGGTTGTCCACAAAGCTGTTCTCTGGAACTGGCTGGGAGTAATCAACTTGAGGTAGACGCCTTTTCTTATTATATGCTGAAAAATCCATAGCTTCAAGTTTCCGAGCAAGATGTTCAACAAAATTCTGGTTCTGAATTGCAGTTTCTAAATAGTTCAGCAACTTATCTTGCCTCTGTTCCATACCATTTACCCGCTGAGTTGAGTCTTCCAACTGAAGCTTTGCAGCAGATAAAAGTGCAGCTTTCTCGCATGCCGCTTTCTCAAGTGCAACTTTCTCGCGTGAAAGCTTATCTATTTCTTCCTCAAAAGCTGCTCTCTCTTGGTCAACTGGAGTACCGTGAGGGTGACTGTGGCTGTGAATGGGTTTCCTGCGATGTATATTCTTTAGGAGATGCTTTTGATCTTTCACAAAATCTTCATTTGCAAATTCCCATCTTTCTGGATCAATCTTTCGAAATCCCTATTAACAGAATATATCCATAAGATATCGTTAACTCAAATAAATTACAAAGTAGAACTCAAACTTCAGAGGATTATATGCAAACCAATGTATTAAACAATGAAAGAATTTGAGTCAAACACAATGCAATATTAAAATTTTTCCCCACATGAAGCGTCTATCAGTTTGGACTTTTGAGGGCTCTGTTTTACAAACATATGGACAGTGGATACCAACACGAAACAATATGGATAAGCTGACATGACAAACATTGACAACACAGCACTAAATAAATGTACATCTTTTACTAGTAAATGTATTATGTGGGAGTGGGATACTTGTCCAAAAAAAATGTCTATTGTAAGTGGGACAAATATAAAATCATGATTAGTTTATGAAACATTTGTGCTAACAAATGCATAACTCAGAAGATGAAGCTCAATAAAAATAATACACACACTGTCGTGCAATAATACTGCTCCTTGGTAAATGTCTTCCTTTCCTTTTTAATTTTTTAAATATAGCTACTACATTCCTTTTCAAGATTAACTGTGCATGTTACATGTTTACATTGTTTGGGCCATGTGTCTGATTCTTTTTGAAAAGGTGTTCAACATGTATAAATTGTGTCCAGAACAATTCTATATGTTTTGCATTTGACATTGCTCATTGCATGAAGTGTGTGCACTTCATAGGTTTATTTATCTATTTGGGGGCTGACAAGAAAATTGCAACACTGAATATATAGCACTGACAGAAAAAAGATATGAGAGAACATAGACAAAAAAAAAATAAAAGACAAATGCCACTCTGCCTCCACAGAAGGGTGCCAGGAATATGAACAAGTATATCTAATTGGAAGACTTGATAAAACTCAGTAGTTCTAAAATATTAATGGAAACAAATTCTGGTGGAATAACTCTATTTCAAATCATGTCAGACTGAAACAAGAGAAATTAAGATTGTAGAGCGAAATCCGCTAACTGCACCTATTTGAATGTGAAAGTAAATTACAGCAATTAATGAAATTTTGTAACACAGGTTAAGCAGAAGCTTAGCTCTGGACATTTTTTATTCATTCCCCAATGAAAAACAATCATGTAATGCATAACAAGTGGGGCAAGAAATATCTAGCCCAGGTCAGCAACCCACAGTTTTATATGGCAAATTGGCCATAGTTTTCCCAGTGTGCAGTTCAACATATGCTTTATGCAAATACATCCAATTACAAGATGAACAAGGACTGGAGATAATTCCAACAATATTAATGCATAGACACATGCATGAGTTTCAAAATGTAACCAGATATTTCATCAAATTTGAAAATGAGTTGACCAGATGCATTTAATAAAATCCTTTGTATGTTGATACTAAACTGTTTTCAATCCATTGTCACAAATTGTGTGAGCAATTTTGGGCTGAATAAAACACAATTAATGATTGTTGGTATGTGATAGTGAGGTGGTCAGTCGTGAACCTCTAGCAAGATTGTGAACACTTCAATGGATAGGGATTGCCGGAGGCGGAAGAAAAGAAAATCAAGGCAGCCTTAAAGGGAGAGAGGGTGGCAGTGAAAGAGCATTGTCAACAGAATAGAGGAAAATGACAACCAGAGTTTTGTGTGTTCTACGTGCATGGATAGTCTCTTATATAGGCTCCAAGACAGTTGGAGACCAGCTCACCTATAGACTGGTGGTCAGCCTCAGCTCGACATAGCGTAGGTAATAGGCCTATCACAGTGTCCCGTGATTCAGATCTTAGAGGATGTATCATGGCATGACATAGAAGAGCCTTAAATTATTCCAAACTTGGGCCAGTTTGATTTTTAGGTAAAGTTTCAAGCAATTGCTCTCACCTGATGTCATGTTTCCACGTTACTCACTTCAAAGTTATGGTAATGATGAAGAATTAAAAAATTTAAATGACAAAGATTGTAATTTTCTTTGCAAGCATTTACCATTGTTGTTTACAACACGTAAGGTTTAACCTATATGCAATCAATGCTTTGGTAAAATTCATTTAATTTTGTTGAAGGTATGAAGGAAGGATAATTGAAAGAAGCTAGAGAATATACATGGTTTATTGAGAAAACTCTACAACCTGACCATGAAGTTGTGATTGAAAAATATGAAAGAATGAACATAACTCATGGTAGTCACCAAACCAGTTTGATCAAAGTGAAGGTTCAAACAGAATGAGTAGGTTTATACTGTACAGGGAAATGTGCCTTTTCATTGGTTTGATGCATTAAAAATTTCATGTGTTAAAAACGTTCTTAAACTTGTACTTGCATTGTAAAGTAAGTCAGTGCAGAACATGCTCAAATTGTTGATTAATTGCATCAATCCCACTAAACAAGAAGAAGCCTACCATGACTATTTCATTAAAATTTTGAATAATTACATTACCCCTACCCCATATTACTGGATCAAAGTACAAATTTTTCTAAGAGTAACTAGATTGCTTGCCAGTTGCCACCATCTATTGGTTCACCAAAGCAATAAATAGGAGATTGTGCTCAAAATTAACAACAGGTGGTTGTAACCAATGCTTCAATTCAATGAACTTTTATCAAGTATTTGTTTTACGAGAACTACCCAATTCACCAAGTATTATTCTGCACCACCTATGCAACTCAGAATTGGCTAGCAAAAGAAATACACCTAAAATAATTCAAAATGCACATGTGGAATTCAGTTTCTCAGTCCTCTATCTATAAACCTTGATCCAAACTCACTCATGTTTAACAGAGATATTCAATTCATAAAATAAATAAATAAAAATCACTAGCTTTCCAATTCCCCTGAAATTCTCCCTCTTCAAATAAAACATTTCCAAAAAAAAAAAACAAACCAAAACGAACCTAACCACATCGAAGGACATGTATGATGATTCTAAAAACCAAGATTTCTCAGGTACATAACTTCAACCCCTCAATTCCACATCATATAAGAAAAAACAAAACAATTGAATTTTTAACTTACATAGGTATTGAGTTGTCTGATGAAGCTGGAGAAGTTGTTGTGCTTGAAGTAGGTGGGAAGAAGGACGCGAGCGAACTCGGGAGGGTTCCAGACCACAAAGCTGTTGTTGTTGGAACTCCAGGAGACGATCTCGTCGGTGTTTGAGTCATCCACCATGTCGTAAGTCTTCAGAAGAAATGGTGCCGGTCCTCCTCCGGAAGCTACGTCCATTTCGTACGGACAATTGATTGATTAATTGATCCTCTGGTTTGGTTTCAAGAAGTAATTTTCCTGGGTTTGTTCGTATATGGAAACCCTAATTTGGAGAGAGAGAGAGAGATAGAATTTGCAGAGTCGAAGAGAGGGAAACTTTAGATAGAGAGAGAGAGAGACGACGTGTTGTTGACTGAAGAATTTTGGTGTTAATCGGACTGGAAGTCCATTCGGTATTGGGGGCAGGTCACCGTGGCACCGGTCAAATTTATAAAATTAAAATTCTCTCTTTATTTTAATATTTATATTTCCACCCTAAAATTATATCATTAATTTTCGTATTTTTTTTTTTAAAATCTACACTATATATTAAGTAAAAGAAAAATTTTAACCATAAGTCTTGTGGGAGTTTTAATCTCTTAATCTAAATTTCTTGATTTTTTGATTTAAAAAAAAATAAAATCTTAGCATTTATTAACTTCTCCCAACTCCTAAGTCTTACCATCATAATAACACTTTAATGTATTAAGTACAAGCATAAATTTTTTTTTTTTGAAATCCAACACATATGAATTCCTTAAAAAGTTCCAACACATATGATTATTATCCCTCATAATAACATTTTTTAAAAAAAAAAATCTTAGTAGTATTAATTTCTCCAAACTCCCAAGTCTTACCATCGTAATAATACTTTAATGCATTAAGAACAAGTATAAATTTTTTTTTTTTGAAATCCAACACATGAATTCCTTGAAAAGTCTCAACACATATGATTATTATCCCTCATAAAAACATTTTAATGCATTAAGAACAAGTATAAAAAAAATTTCTTGAAAAGTTCAATACATATGATTATTATCAAAATATTAAACTTTAATATAATAAATAAAAAAAAGACATTTAATTCCTTGAAAAGTCCAACACATATGATTATTATCAAAATATTAAACTTTAATATAATATAAAAAAGAAAAAAAAAGACATTTAAAAAAAAAATTAAAAAATCACAATTCATATATATAAATAATTGTAAACACAATTCGTGCATAGCACGAGTGATATGCTAGTTATCACAAATAACAAATCCAAAAAATTCTCAGCTACCCCTTTCCTACCATCTCCATTGGCTAATATTAGGGATTGTTTGGGATGACCTAAATAAGTATACTTTTTGTCTTTTTATAAAAAGATGTGCAGAAAAATAGAGAGGTGATGTGATGAAAAAAGATAAAAAAATGAATTATTTTTTAGTTACCAAACTCGGTCTTAATATCTGGCACCTTCCTTCTCACCTTGCTTAAATTGGATATGTAACTATTAAATTTAAAAATTTTAACTTTTTTTTTTTCTTCTTTTGAAATCTCAAATTGTTGCTCTCTCTCACTCGGTTTACACAGGTGAGTTGACAGACAATTTGCGATAGTAAGACAGAAGGTTGGGGGTGGCATATTTTGCAATAATGGATTGGAGGAGCCGTGGTGGTGGGGTGAGAAGTAGAGTAAGAGAAGGGTTGGGAGGGAAGTCGGAGATAGGAATGACTATTTTAATTTGATCTGCGGGAGTTTGTTCATACCCGTTTGAATGGGACATATTTTATCTACATTGACACTTATATGGGGCGGGAGTTTGTTCATACCCGTTTGAATGGGACAGATTTTATCTACATTGACACTTATATGGGGCGACGGTGACTTATATTTTGGTCATCCGTGACAGAGGTGGAGTGGGGGTAAGTTTTGCCTCTCTCGATCCAAATCCCATCTGATATAATTAAAAATATATATATATATATATATATAGCCAAAAGAGACGGAAGCAGGAAACAGGAAATAGCACACTAAAAATAACATACATAAAATTAAAATACAGAAAATAAAACTTAACTTAATAACTTAAAATAAAACTTACAATTGTTTACTGGAATGAAGCAAATGAAGCAAACCGTTCTTCCAAATACATAACTTGAAAATGAAAATATAAAATTACTGGGATAGCTATTTTTCTTGAGGAATGAGCACTCAGATTTTTTCTAACCCTGTCGTATTCTTGACTGAAGAGGCTCTTTTATAGATGAAAAGAGTTACTATGAGCCTTGTAAAGGAATATGACTTTGAAAGAAGCACTTAGGAGCTGTCTACAACTTTCGGTGAGTGACTAAAGTTGATGGCTACCTTTGATTGTACTGAATTTGTCGATTGGATAAATTATGATGAATGGTGAATAGTAATGTTGAAGCATGTGACTGAGGGAATCAATATATATATATATATCAGCAGCTTTTCTCAAAAGAAGAGTATTGATTGAAATTGATAATTATAGCTATATAGAATCCAATGACTATATCAAGCATATGGATCCTGAGCATCTTGAAACTGGGGCCCATAAGGGTCTTTATTGGTTGAACCTTCAGAAGAGTCTGAACCATTTGAACCTTCGTCTGAACTGGCTTCATCAGATTGTGACTTGGCTTAGGCCATGAGTAGGCGAGCTATTTGGAGAAGCTCATCTTTGGATGACTTGGACTTGGCCTTGGGCTTAGCCTGAGATGATGAGGGTTTAGTCTTGACTTTGGACTTTGTTTGATCAGATTTAGACTTTGCTGACTTGGGCTTGGAAGAACTAGAAGTTGGGCTTCCAAGATTGACTGGAGGAAGTTGGCTTCCTTGTGTTAATGAAGCAGTTGGGTTCTGCTAAGCTTTGACCGTGGCAGGTGTTGGAGCATGAATATTGACTGGGAATTCTGCTTGAACTTGTTCAATAATTCGTGGAATCTTGAAATTATCCCACCATTTAACAAAGTGTCGACGAAAGATTATGTCATGAGAAATAGCATATTGCCATTTAAATATCCATAGGACCTTGTATTTGGATATAAAAATGAGCAATGTAGGGAATTTCTTTTATTGTGGACTGAATGAAAAAACAGTAGAAAAATAGTTGATTTGTTCAATCAAAATAGAGGGGAAGATATCTTCAATAGCCCCATACTGAGTCCACCATCGGAGAAACCAAGCGGGGAACTCTGACTTGAATTTATGATCAAATTGGAGGAACCAAGAGTGACTGTTTGACTCATTTTGATACAGGAGAACTTTGAACCAAGCGTCAATATAATCATAATAACTATATTGAATTGTATGACCAGGTAAATCTCGGAGTTAAAAAGGAGGACCACATTCATTTAAAGAGACTATATTGTGAATATACAATTAATACAATTTTATTGGTGTAAGTCCGATCATAGATAGCTTTAATAACAATGGACTGATGGTTGAACAGGATATCTTTGTAGTAGGTGATTGATTTTTCTGGATGAAAAGGAGCAAAATGCCATCCAGAAGGAAAATAAGATTTGACTAGATCAAGAACTATATGATTTTTTGAGAGACTTGGTTCTTTGAAGAAGAGATTAGTTGTATGGGATTTAACATAATCAGAACGGCCTGATTTAATAGGGTTAGGAGGGTAAGGAATAACTGACTGCGAGGAAGAGGCAAAAGGGTCAGTAGCCAAAGCAGAGGTATAATTAGGTTTAGAAATATTACCAAGAACTTGGTAACAATTGACTAATTCAACAGGATGATATCTAGTGACTAATTCTAAATGAGGAACTGGTTGACTAGAAGAAACAAGAGCCTTACTAGAAGGTCTCAAAGGTCTCTGAACAGACATCTATAAAATAGGTGGACAGGACTGAAATTAGCATCCACTGAGGATTTCTAATTTACTCATATGATAATCAGCACAATTAATATAGTGAGCTAATAAATTACGGCGATTGCAAATGGTATGAAATCGAATAAATTGAGCACGTTTAGTAGATTTTTTGGCTAATTTGAGGCAAGCAATATGATAAGCAGTTTGGTGAATGAGATTTTGGTAATAGGTAACTTGTGATTTATGGTAGGAAATAAAAGGAGTTGTCATCCCTTATCCCCCCTGTAAAAACTCTCTGATAAGAAAATCAGAAATAGAATTTTGACAACCAGGTATATATCCAATATCAAAATCAAAAATACTTAAAATAGATTGCCAACGGGCAAAAATTTCCTTACTAGCAAGATTTTGAACATGTTTTTCTAAAACATATTTAGCAAATTTGCAATCAACACAGAGTAAAAATTTTTGATTTAAAATATCACCTTGAAATTTACTAATACATAAAACAGTAGATAATATCTTTTGTTTTATAGTACTATAATTTTTTTGTGCTTTATTCTAGACACCAGAATGAAAACGAACAATATGTTCAGATGACTGAGGAGTGATTTTCTGGAGAAGAATACCACCGTAACCAATATCAGATGCATCAGTTTGAATAATCTTAAATGAATTTTCAGTAGGAATACCAAGACATGAGAGAGACTTGACATATTTTTTGACTTGTTTAACAATATCAGTATGAGTAGAAGACCAAGGAGGAGGATTACCCTTCAATCAATCAAAGAGTGGTTGACAGGTTTTCCGAAAGTCTTTGTAAAATTCAACAATATAATTAAGTGATCCTAAGAATCTTTGTAACTGGGTTTTATCTAAGATTTCATTAGGGAATTTAGAAGCAAATTCAGTGGATCGACTAATAGGTAAGATTGTATTCTGGTGGATGTCATATCCTAAAAATCTGATTTTGGTTTGAAATAGTTTAATCTTAGGAGCAGAAATAACTAGACCATGAGTTTTTATGGTATAGAAGAAAGCAGAAAGATGTTTCCAATGTTCACTAAGGGATTTAGAAAAGACGAGAATATCATCTATATAAACGAAAATGACTAAAGGGATTGAAAATGTCATTCATTATGTTCTAAAATTCACTAGGAGCATTTTTTAATCCAAAAGGCATGACATTTCATTCATAATGACCAAAAAGTGTAGTGAAAGCAGTTTTATAATGATCTTTTGGGTGAACTTGTATTTGCCAAAATCCACTTTTTAAATCAAATTTTCTAAAAATAACAGCTTGACTAAGTCGTTTAATTAAATCTTTTTTTATTAGGAATTGGATAACGAATCCATTCTAAAACTTTATTTAAAGGTTTATAATTAATTACTAGTCGAGAAACTCCACGTTCTAACTCAGCATTTTTATTAACATAGAAAGCAGGACAAGACCAGGATGACTTGCTATGACTAATAATTTTGTTTTGTAGTAATTCATTAATTTCTTTTTTACACATTTCAACTAATTCATGATTCATTTGAATAGGTCTAGATTTAATAGGAATTTGTCTTTCATTAAAATTCTTAATATATGGAAGT